TATTTCGCAAAATTTGACCAACCTTGTTTCTACCAGTCATTTAAGTCAACTCCCATATTGTCCTTCACAATGAAGGGTAATGCAGATATATTGTAAATTACACAGATGTAACACTACAATACATTTCCCTTTACATTACCCTGTATTACATAACAATCTTTGAGCTGAGGCAGTTATGGTTCTACAACCATCACCAGTTCTCTTGTTAGTCATATAATCTACTAATAAATGTCACGCCGTCGACTCTCATTCGCTGTAATAATAAACCGCAGCAATTTGGTTAATTTAATATGAGATTTTCCGCTTACTGCGAGATCTCGCATATTTACTTTTAGAAATTCTAATGTACAATGTATTTACATAACATTAGAAGGTCTTAGGCATAGATCCCGGACAGTCATATCAGGATCGTCAATTTCTGTGGTTATATTATCCAGCATTCAACAAACATTATAGTCATGTGTTGTGATACACATGTGGTATTTATATTTATACGTCCATCTATGCCCGCAAGATAGTATTGTTATCATAAAAACTATCACTTATTGTGAATTCCAAACAAAGTCAATATAATTTTACCTTGATTTAACAGCTAATGATAATCAAAGTGACCCTTTTCAAAAATCGAATGGCGTCTTCTAATTTCTATTTTCCAAACTCCAATGTCTATTCTACTATTCTAGTTCAATTCAAATCCGTACCTGTTATACTTATTGTATGGAAATAAGCCACTGTTATAAGGAATTTTACTTGTAGTTTTGTGCTGTTGTTTCACTGACATTGAGCCTCGTCGGTACATTTTACTACAGTTAAAACGTCCTGTCACTGTTTCATCGCGTCTAACTCGTTTGGAGGGCATGTCTGTTGGCGCTCGGCATGATCCCATTCCCTGTGATTATTGTGGGCATACTTCGCTGCAGTTGAATATCTGGTAATACACTCTGATTGTGAATGATAATGGTACTTTTCAATAGATTTTTAGCTCGGAATTCATATTAAATGATGTAGTCACGGTGCCTGGTTGAAACCAGCCGTTACATGCACGATCCACCTATATAATAACACAGTAAAATACACACAATCGTCTTTAACCCCAAAGCATTCAACGTTATCCGGTCTGGCTTATTTATTATGTAAGTCTGCATATTTCTGAACAATCCAAAAATTGTTTCACAGACCAACGTCGGGAGGGGTGGGGTTTACTCCGGTAGTTGAAGTATACGGGTATACGTGTCTGCATTGTTCCCCGTTTTCACGGTCGAGCCAATCTTTTTGACCCCCCAATTTTAAGATTTTCGGTCATTTCAGCAAAATTTGGGTCATTTGGGTGCCCTCAACTTCGTTATTTTTATGGGTCAAGTTTTCAACTCCCACCTAAAATCAAGATGAGTTTCACCCCCCCCCCTCCGCGGATCAACGACATAAACGACATATATTTTTTTTTTCGAAAACATTAGAAAACGTTATTTTATGTATATATATGTTTTGCTTTCAAATTTAAATATCTGTTGCAGCGCCTACGATATATTGAAAATACGTTATGAATATGAATATCCGAAACAAACAATTGCGATTTTTTGTTTCCAGTAAAAGCAAGTTAAAAGGACATTGCATCTATTATTGATTGCACAATTCCGAATACATCCAGTCATAGTGAATAATATGTAAGGTATGGAATGACACAATTAAAAGTTCATCCGATTTGGTGAACAATCGAGGCGATAGTTGGTTCAAATTAAAGGGAGTTGGGTGCTTCGCTTGTTTGAACTAATTTTTTACTGATGGTGCATTTAATCAGACTTTTCTTCATTTATATTCTAGTTGTTCATAATATCAATTTGGTATCGTTAAATTGAATCCCGGGCAATAATCCCCTCCCCCGATCATTAAATTAACCAAAACCCCGCCAGTATAGTAGCATTTGGGGGTACTCCAAATTACAGTTACAGGCCGTCATCGAGAATTATCGTCCTCAAGTAGCTGTCATTGGACTAAAGCTGAGTCAAATATCAATCATTTGCGGGGAAGATAATTCTTGATATAGACCAAAGCTATGGCTAATACCATTTTTATTGTTTCGAAAGATAACAAAAAGAGTTTTAGGTGAAACATTCCTAGTAGTAATCACAATTAACTTCCTGCGGAGAAAGTTTCATTCTACTAACTATCATCTGCAACAATCTAAAGGCCATGAAACACGGATCAACTTTTGTTCAAAACAAATTGCAACATGTTGATTAAAATAGAGACAAGCTCTATTCCTCGCCACAAGTTGCATGTTGTAAATAGCACTCTGTCAACATGCATGCAACAATTGTTGTCAACAAAAGTTGCAGCTTGTTTATCCGTGCCTTAAGTGTCCCGGATGTTATGACATCAGAGGCCAGTTACACGCAAATGACGTTAGAGGCAAGAAATATGCTGGGAGAGACCAATATCAATGTTTCTCGGACGATCACGTGGCCGTTATTGACCAATAACATTGATTGTCTCATACCTGAGTGGTAATAATTACTGTTATTCCAATCTACTTACCAAATATTCCGAAATTGTGTGAAATTAGTTGACAAACATAAACCAAAAAACTTTTTCGTAATTCTACAAAAGCTCATATAATGTTTTCTTTTTTTTAAATTTAATAACTAATGTAAAAAAGAACGATTTTTCTATGTGCTGGTCGATCTATCTAGTCTGCTATCCAATATCCCTAATTTATTCACATTAGTTTGAACTGCAATTATTCACGTATTCATGGTAACGTACCTCACCGATTGAACAAATTCACTAAATGATTAAAATATGTAAATATGGTTCAACATAAAATATTACACTAACCTTTTCTAATCTCGACAACGCTGCTAGCTGTGCCAGAATTAAAACTGTGCAGTGCTAGCGGTGACTATGTTGCTTGTACACTAGTAAGTGTAACATATGGTAGAATTGAATCAAACAATGAATGAGAATAAACGTCGTGACATTATATTTTGTTTATTCATCTCATTGCAAATGCTGCGTTTTAATATCCTCTCTCAGATATATGTAAGGTATCTATTTGGTGATTATATCATAGTTCCCATGGCAACAGCATGTTTCGGATCATGAATATGATATCTTGGATGGATATCTCTACAATTATAAATGTCATGTATTCTGGTAAGGTGGGGGAATGAGTAGGTAAATAAAAATATTGCATACCCAAAGGAATGTTTATTGTTTGTTTGTTTTTTTGTTCTTGGTTGTCCAAATGTCGTTTCATTTTCTTTATACCTACAATGTTACCCAACTTAAGGGCCTAACCATGGAAGCAAGGGAAGCGGCCACGGGAAAAATGGATTTAAAGCATTGAAAATTAAAGGTTATACAATAGTTTCTATTCTATTGATGTTGGTGTCTATGTGGAAAAAACATTTCTTTTTAAACCAAATTGCAAAATGATGGTTTCTGCATGATTTCTGCAGCGAATTTGGATTGTTAGGAATAAGTCAACCTTAGTCCTTGCTCCAATCATCAATCCGAGTTTACTTAAAATCATGTTTACTCATATTAAACATAGTTGAACTCTGGTGACCTTGCCCTTTGTGATATAATATAATTCCCTTTATCATAATATATCCCTTGACTCAATATGAATATGCATTGTTATAATTAATTTTGAATACAAACAAGTTTGTGGGTTGAAACAACAGTGGGAATGCAGTTTACCGAATAGCCTTGATAGATGTAAATATCTTACAAAAACATTGGTGCCTGATTTGTTTAATTATTTTTATAGGGACACAATTTAATTCCAGCTTTATTCAAAGTAATTCAGATTTTTATTATAAAAACAAATGCCGCATCTCAGAAAAAAAGTGCTGCATTTAGACGTGAATAGATTCATAAATCATGCAAGATACCAGAAAATCTTAGCTGGCTTTTGCCCAAGTATTTTGTACAGGTGATTAACTGAGACAAATATGAACTGCCTTATTATATTCATTGTATGAATACTGTATTAATTGAAAAGTAAAAAAAACGACCTCTATAATGTTGCAAGCTCTGCATTGTAATGCAAATCAACTTAAATAGTTAGTTGGTGTCCAGTGAGAGAGAAATCAACAGTACTTTTGCCTCCTGAGAATCTACATCTTCAAACATTGCAATCTTTGTTTTTTTTAAAGTGCGTTTTTAAATTATTATTATAAAAGCTCTATTATTCTGTTCTAATAGCTGAAACAAATTCCTGTGAATTTTCATTTGTCGAATGAACTGTTTGTCAAATACAGAATACCTATTTTTGAGTACAATTTTCTTTTCAAAATGTAGATGCAACGCTTTGCTTTTCATGCTTTTTTTATGTATTGTTTTGATTTGATAACTTTAGACTAAACATATTTTCTATTAGCTTCAGATCTTGATCAAAGTTTGGCACTCAATTCATATTGATAATCTGACATTTTATTGTAGGTTTGCAAATGTGTATCAGACTTGTGCAAAAACTCTCTCCACGAGTTGGTTGAAACCCTGTCTAGTATTCCCATGGGATTTGGGAGATACATTACAAGATAAATGATTTGCTTCATTGAACACAGACAACAATGCACATTTCCACTGAGATAAGTGACCTTTGAATGTGTATCACCAGTGATCAGTCAAGTAGAAACAGTCAAAATATTTTATCAACTTTTCTCAATTTTTTCATGATATTTTCATACAGGACATCTGTTGTTCATACCCAGGGAAGACTTTGTACTGATGAATAAGGTGACCAAAGTTTGATAAAGTTTGGAATAGAATTAGTAAAGTTATTGTTCACATAATATCATTATTAACGACGACGACGACAAATGCGAGACAGAAATTTTCCCCTTAATATACCTTTCCCTTCCATCTTTGATGTTACGGGCAAGGTAAAAAAATGTATTGATGTATAAGTATTCTCTGTGAAGTAATAGATAGTTCAGTACAGAATTTGTGAATTCGAAAACACTTTAGCATTCAACACAACAAGAATAACCGAATACAGGACGAAAGCCTTGCGTTTTATTTTGTAAAGAGCGGTACAATTGAAACAATCTACATACAACTGTTACAATTAATTACGTCATTCAAGCAATAATTACTGTGACAAAAACCTTGTATCTGGGTATGTAATTT